TTTGAAAGTTTATAAAGTTCTAACCCCTGGCCAACAAGCCTTTACATTGATTTTTCTAACTTCTTTTATTTTTTTAAGTCCTTTTGAACCAAGAAAGAAACAAAGGTGATTTTCTACACATTATCATGTACTTTCACATTCTACCTTTTTTCACAATATACCATGTGTACCACTATGCCATATTTAAAGTGGCTTTCACATTAAATTTTCTAAATGATGACTAAGGTCAAAATAACCAATTTGCCGGGGGTCAGGCTCACTGCCTGTAATCCTAGCTAATCAGGAGGCTGAGAGAGATCTAAGGATCTTGATTCAAAGCCAGCCCAGGCAGGAAAGTCTGAGACACTTATCTCTCCAATAAACCACTCAGAAAATCGGAAGTGGCATTGTGGCTCAAGTGGTAGAGCCCTAGACTTGAGCTGAAAACCTGAGGGACAGTGCCCAGGCCCAGAGTTCAAGTCCCACAACCAACAAAAATAAAAAATAAATAATTTTTCAGGGAGCCAGTGGCTCAACAAGGCCTGTTATCCTGGCTACTCCTGAGTTTGAGATCTGAGGATCAGGGCTCAAAGCCAGCCTACCCAGGAAAGTCTATGAGACTCCAAAGAACTGGAAGTAGCGTCATGGGTCAAATGATAGGGCATCTTGACCAAAAAAGCTCACAGACAGCACCCAGGCACTGAGTTCAAGCCCCAGGACTGGCACCAAAAATATATAATCTAAATAATTTCATTTACATTAAAACTATTCTGGTGATTAGATTATTTTTAAACAAAGTATAGTTTTGGACAGCTAAGTATTTCATACAAATGCTTTGAGAATCATATGAAAGAAACTACTCAGGTTAACTATAGTACTATACTTTTCCTGCACTCTAAATTCAAACCACTTAGAAATTATCTATATATGACATATAATTAACATAAAAAGCATAGCTCAACATATGATATTAAGCATTTCCTAAAATAAGCATACTAGTGTTGTGTTATTACTTTACCAGGATGTTTTACAATTCATCTTAATTACAAATATAACAGCTACAAAAATGACTGTTGTAGGAAAAGTTTCTCTTACAGTACAAACTACAGTTGGCTCTCTGTTTCCGTGGGATCCACATCCGGAATTCACCCAATCTCAGGTTAAAATACTTTGAGGAAAGAAAACATGTGTCTGTACAGGACTTTCTTCTTGTCATTTCCTAAACAATGCAACTATTTACATAGCATTTACACTGTATCAGATGTAAGCAATGTAGACATGATTTCAAGGGTACAGGAGGATGTGCATGGTTTATATGCAAACATTATGCATGCCATTTTATATAAGGAATAGAGCATCTATAGATTTAGCTACTTGGAGATGGGGTATTTGGGGCCAAACTAAAATCCTTCAAATACAAGGACTGACTGCTACTCTTCTTGATTATGAATGGCCATTAGAGGCCTCAAACTGAACATAATCTTGTTTGTTTTCACACATCTTTCAAGTTTAACCACTCTTTTCATGCCACTACGGACAATAGTTAACATTTTTTTTTGTGAACATATTGTACAGAGGGGTTACAATTACATGGGCAGGATAATGCGTACATTTCTTACCAAGCATTGCAGCCTCCTCCTTTGGTTTACCCTTCACATCCCTTCCCAGCCCCCCCTCTCCCCCCCAAATAGTTAACATTTTTATCCCGAACAACTAGAAGCAAAGAAAAAAGATTCTTCTTCCACAGGCATTTAATATAGTATGAATTAAGCTATAATTCATGGATTATAGTCACTTCCTAATTTGGAGGGTTCTTGGCAAGAACACAAAACCCACCACCACAGTCTTAAGGGTTTACAAGGAAAATAACAGTCTTCAGCGTGTTTTTGTAAAATGCTGCCAGTTAAAAAAATAAAATTAGCTTCTACTCAGTCTGAAGCAGTAGGCATTAGTTGTTGGAGACATTAAAAGATGCAAGAAAATTAATCTCTTGCTATTAAAAAAGTTCCCAAATGAGAAATGATACTGTTCTGTTTTAAAGCCTTAAATTCATTGTGATGACACCAAGAACTGCTTGTGGAAGTCTTTTCCATTCTCTCAAAGCATGTGCAAATGTGTGAGAGGAAAGGTTTGTAAACCATTTTTACTGGTGAGATTTACTTAATTTGTTAATGACAGTTTCAAGGACATTTGAAAAGGTGAAAGGGAAAACAGTATCACTGTTTTAGGACCTCATTGAGAATAAATGGAGACACCTTATTTACATAGTACTTTAAAAAACTACCAGGTAGATTCAAGCTCTACAAAAACAGACATCTGGGGCTGGGAAGGTGGCTCAGTGGTAGAGCGCTTGCCTTGCATGCTTGAGGCCCTGGGTTCGATTCCTCAGCACCACATAAGCAAAAAGAAAAAAAAAAGCCGGAAGTGGCATTGTGGCTCAAGTGGTAGAGCGCTAGCCTTGAGCTGAGGAGCTAAGGGACAGCACTCAGGCCCAGAGTTCAGGCCCCACGACCAGACCCCCCCCCCAAAAAAAAAGCAAAAACAGACATCTGAAAACATGACAGCACTAGAGAGAAAGAACTACAAATGAGATTATACCTATACCCAGTGACCATATGCAATAGTAGCTATTACAAGAGAAAAGGCCATTAACATTGATTAAAAAAAAAAAACTCTCATACGTTGACATGTTAAAATGAAACTCCTATGTACAACTACTTGAATTTTTTAAAGAAGAAAACTGATAAAAACCACAAGCAAATAAATTTTCTCTAAACAACCTATCTGCCATGGTGTCTAGTAACGTGTAAAAAGAATCACACAGGGGTGGGAATGTAGCTTAGTGGTAGAGTGCTTGCCTAGCATGCATGAAGCCCTGGGTTCAATTCCTCAGTACCACATAAACAGAAAAAGCCAGAAACGGTTCTGTGGCTCAATTGGTAAAGTGCTAGCCTTGAGCAAAAGCAGCTCAGGGACAGAGCCCAGCCCCTGAGTCCAAGCCCCAGAACTGACCAAAAAAAAAAAAAAAAGAATCACACTGCTTTTATATATGCCTTTATAAACTTTTAGGAGATATAGCTACTTTTATATATGCCTTTATAAACTTTTAGGAGATATAGCTACTGTTACAATCATTTTTTGAGTCAAGGAAGAGGAAAATAGTTCATCTAGTCACAGTTAATTCTTCTTTTCCCTCCACAGTAATAAGCAAAACTAAACAACAAAAACAAAACAAAATAAAAAAAGGAATAATTAACACAATGTTAGGACAAACAGATTTGATAAAGAAAAATCAAGTAATTTTCTGAAGGGATGTAAACAAGTAGGAATGTCGATGTGGAATATTAGATAAAAGAATATTAGACAGTCGAAATGCATTTAAAAGAATGTTTTATCACAGTGTTGCCCTATAAATACATTCTCCAACAGGCTAAAACTAATCATTGAAAAGCACCTTGCTTGAATGTCAGAAGCACACCAACAGTAATGATTTTCACAAACCCTTTCCATAGGGAAGAAACAAATCACAAAGAATAACGGGCATGTCTGCAGCATTATCTGTTCTAACGGCACTTCATGAGCGAACCATCTTGGAAGAATTCACATTTAGCACTTTTTTTTTTTAAGTACAAACCTCACAGCCAAAGTTAAAATGAAAAATGGAAACAGAATTCCTGTCTGTGAATTGCCTTTCAGGACATGCTCACTCTTGCTTCACAAGGTAAAGCAAATTAATTTTCAAGTATGATGAAAGTCGGGCGGGCTAATGTGTCTTTAGCCATTTAAAAAGGGAACTAACAACTGTGACTATACTTCCCCCCCCCTCCCCTCCGAAGAGTTTCAGGTCGAAGTTCCTTTGACTGAGGGCTTCAGCGATCCATTGAGCTTTGTACCCTGAGATGAAAGAATGTAAAGAAAAAGGAGGCAGAGGCTTACAGGTGGCTTCCAGGTTTGGAAGAAAAAAAAATGGGGGTGGAGGGGTAGGGGGGGCGAGTTGGTTCTGTTAACTGTAGCAAGTTAGTGAAAGGAGTCATAAAATACCAAGAAAACTCCGTTTCTCGAAAAGACAGCTTCAATGAAAAGATAGCCAAACTTCAGTATCAAACGTTCTTCCGCCAAGGTATTTAACTAGATAGTTACTTGTAGTTTATTAATCCATTTTGAATCCCAACCGTCTATGTTTCGCCCTCAAGCTTCGAAGTTCAAACGGCCAGGGTAACCGACTCAGGAACTATTAGGATCTGCAGTTCCTTCTCCCGACCCTCATCTGAATGTTTAAAAAAAAAAAAGGAAGGGAGGCTGACATTCACAACTCGTCCCCCTCCAAAGCCAGGGCGACACAGCGATTGCATTCCAACGGAGAGAAACAGAAAAGCTAACTTGCCACAAAGCTTTTCCCAGACCAAACCCAATCCTTTGACTGCTGCTCCCCCACCAAGATGATGGGGGGGAGGGGAATAAAAACTGGAAAACGGGGTAAAACTGACAAGAAAATGAGTCGAGGGAACTTAACGGAAGGCGCTCGAGGTAAAGAAAGATAAGCCAGAAGTGGAGAGGACGGTGATGGAAAAGAAAAGCGAGAAAAGGAAGGGAGATTTTTTTTTTTAATCCAGGAGAAGAAAAGGAAGTGGGAACGGCTTCGAGGGCTGCGGCCTAAGAGGGACCTGGGTGCCACTGGATGTCTACGGAACCCCGAAAAAGGCTAATGGGAAGACAATGGGGAGGTGAGTCCCGGAGCGGCGGGGCGACCAGGCGGCCTGGAACGGCCGGCACGGAAGGGCAGAGGCTGCAGCAAAGCAGAGCTGGGGTGAGGCGGGGGTCCCCGGCCGCCCTGGAGGAGTGGCCAGTCCGATCTGGAGACGCGGGGTGGAGGAAACCGAGGCCGCGAGGGCAGGTGTGATGGAGGCAAAAAAAAAAAAAAAAAAGAAGCAGCAAAGCCCAGAGGCTCGCCCGGCCGCAGGGAGGGGGGCGGAGGGCGGGGAGGGAACGGGCGGCGGGCCCGGGGGGGGGGTCGCACTCACAGTCCAGGTGCTTCTTCTTGGGCCCCATGATCTCGTGGGTCGTGGCCTTGCATACTGTCTTGGACACCGCGGAGCCGGTGACACTGTGCTGGGCGGCGGTGATCCGGTCCGTCAGGCTCTGGCCGGACATCTCTGCGGCTCCTCCGCCCGCGTCCGCTCGGCAGCCGCCGGGGACCGGGACCCCCAAGCGCCCGAGAGCCCCCGCCCCCCGCTGCACCCCGAC